AGGTAAAAATTACCCCAAAGCCTTGATGAGAGCATGGAGTTTGAGCCTGCCCGCTAACCCTAGTCCATCCTGTACAGATTTACACTCCCAGGGGAAAATGACACTGAGGGAAAGACAGCAGGGAGCTGGGATTATAGATAAGGCAGCAGATCAAGAAGGAGATGATATCTACAGTGAAAAGGGCTGCAGAACACAAGCAGTGACTAGAAAGTTATCGACAACCCCTGGCTCAGCACCCACACCCAGCTGTTCTCCAGGATTTCTGAGGCTGCCAGCAGCAAAGCGAGCACAAGAAGCGTGGCACTTCGGTTGCTACTCTCCTGACAAGCCTCTGCATTCACCACTGGGCACAGTACAGCCATGCTCCATGCCTCAGTTTCCCTGTGTGGGAAATGTGAGAGACTCTTCTACTCTGGGTAAGGACTTACCTAATTATAAGAAGCTTAATAGGTTGCTTCAAGGTCCTTGGAGAGAAATTCTATCAAAATGCAAGACAGAGACGATCCTCAGAAAGAGGAGAAGCCCCCTCTGCTTTTCTCCCTCCTGGTCAGCCACATCCACCTCTTCTCATCTCTCTTCTTGTTGCAATTTATGCATTACAGGCAGAAAAAGACTTCTGGCAATGCTCAGTGTGGTCATACCCCACAGCCACGGCTGATGTTTTGGAAAAAGCCTATTTAGACACAGACCTCGGCACTCCCCTAGGTGGGGAAACAAGGAACCTTAGCTGAGGTCATCAAGCTGCCTATTCAGCTTGGGGGGGGTTATCTCGGTACAAAAGGCCAAGGCCCCAACAGCGAGCAGCTCACATAACTTCTGCTGTCCTAAAGCAGGGAATAATCACTTCCAAAATCACAACTCTAGAACAAGCCCTTGCTGTTTGTAAGGCAGCCAGCTCCCTTCATGCTGCTTCTTCCCTCAGCCTGCCTGATGAAAGCTCAGTGCAGTGCTGCACTCCCTTTCACCTATCAGCTCTACTGAGCAAGTTTCTGAGCACAAAAATACACCCACCCTGCTACAGGTGTTCAGAGGTCTGAAGAGCAAGAGGTACCTGTTGTACTTCAGGAAGAGTTTTGGGAAGTAAAGGGTCTGCATGCCAAGGAACACAAAGAAGTCAGAAAAAAGAAGGTAAAGGAATCATGTTTCTGCCTTCCTGAGATATGTAGCCAGAGTTTATTCCACGGGGATGCAGACATAGAGTGCTTTTCTAAATCCTACACCACTGCTCCAGCACAGAGCATTTCTCTTCACCTTCCCCTGGAGAAGGGAAAATTCACCAGCTCTGTGACAGCAACTCTGCCCTGGCCCCTGGCACAAGCAGCTGGTCCTGGCATCCCACCCAGCACTGCTGCTGTGGCACAGCCCAGTCCTTGCAGGGCAAGCAGGACAAATGCTACCAAAGCACCCCAAAGCCAACCCAAAACTGCCCACAATGCCAGGCTTGGCCTCTCCATGCAGCTCTGTCATGGCTCCTCAAGGCCAGGCTGCGTCACTGACTCAACAGCATGGTCCATGTGTGCACTGCAGATACATCGCTACCTTTCTGAGAACATCCAGGATGGGGAAGAGCAGGCATTCATAAGAGACCCTCCACATGCCCCTAGATTGCACTGCCCCACATGCCTATCTTCCCCAAATTTCAGATCCCACTGAAATGTTCCACTGTAGTGTCCTGATGGCGTTTTGTGCTACTGAAGTGCAGCCTGACCTTTTGTGCCGAACTGATGGGTGACAGGGGCAGAAAACAACTACCCACGCTCTTCTGCTTCTGTAGCCAGGGCTGATAACATGGACCAGCCCTTTAAGGCACCTCTACTGACCTAAAGTCATGAAAACATCTCTTGTGCCAGTCAGTACACCCTCCGCCTTCCTCTCTGCCAGAGTTACTGACAGCTGTACCAGTCTTCGTTAGCACCACCTCCTCCAGCTACATCCCACTGATTGGGTCACAGATTCCAACAATGTACAAAGGACTCATTTTAGAGCAAATAACCCCACCTAAAACCTAATCGGCCATCAGGAATGAATGCTGGCCCAGCTTGCCCCCTCTATCCATCACCAAATTCCCTCACTTCCTTCCTCCACCTTTATGACCCAGCACAGAGGCTGGGGGGGTAGGGGTGTCAATTTGCAATAGCAAGCGCACCTTAAAGATGCTGTTCTCAAGAGAGGAGGAAGCTGACGCAGCAAGCTGAAAACTCAGCTATAAACCCTGCCACAAGACAGAGTTTATCTCTGCTTGCTGACAGCTCAATGCAAGGGAAGGACAGAGAGAAACTTGTCTATCCTAAGGTGCCCTTCACATACTGGCCACAACATCATCTATGTGCACTGCCCTGAACAATTGCCATACCCATGCCACGACTGCTTACGTGCTCCACATTTATAAACTCTGCAGAAGTGCCTGTGTTCCATGGTAAGTGCATCCAGCAGGACCCGTGTGCATTGCTACACGCACCCAGCAAACAGCCACCCACGTTTGTCACACAAGCATCCCTCAAAGGCATGCAGCAAGCATGTCACACCAATCTGACAAGCCCCAGTGTCACACTGCACTTAGCCAGTTGTGCGTGGGAGGAGGAGAAAGGTAAACACAAGGCACACGGGAAGCCCACAAGAACACAAACCTCACAGGTATGCTCCTCAGACAAACACGCCAAGTGCGCCGGTGCCCGCCATGTGCCTGGCCGAGGTTCAGCGGGCTCTGTGCTCACCGTGCAGCCCCAGCAAGCTTCCAGACCAGCTATCCATGTCTCATGTGAGTTCACAGTTGTGAGCATCCACTGAAACTAACACTCCTGCAAGTACACTATTTTCCACTCTTCTTGACCTCCTTGCTAAGACAATCTCTGCGTGCCACGCATCTTTTTGCAATCTTAGCAGCGTTTGCGGGGGGGGGGAGGCAAGCAGGAAGGCAACTCAGCCACCAAAACCCCTTTGGAAACAAGGGTGTGGAAGGCACCTCCAATGGAGATGAGCCACAGCAGCACCTAGGACCAAAGGTATACTAGACAAAAAGCAGCAGCTGAGCTACCAAATTAGGAACTGGGCAAGAAAACACATCTGCAGCTAGCCAGAATCCATCCTCTCTCCTAAGGATATAATTGTCATATCCAGGGTGTTAATAAGCAAGCTATGCAGGTATAACTGAGTCCTCAAAGAGAGGAATGCTATACCTTGCAGTGGATTTCTTACCTCTACTGCAAAATCACCTGAGGGTGTAGAGGAACTGTAAATCTTTGAGGGACTTTTATGACATGCAGTAGAAGAGCCACAGCTTCACTCCTCTTCTGCAGTTTGCAATGGCTTTCATTCAATGCTAGTTTTATAGTGCTACCAGGGGGCTGGAGACTCCCTCCCCAGCAATAGCTCAAAGGACTGCTCTTCTCCCACTCTAGCTTGGAGAACGTGTTCCCAGCACTACTACTGGGGCTGAAACAAGCACAGCTGCTAGAGCAGTGTTTAGGCGGGCTTTAGAAACTGGAGGTTTGCTGGAGTGCAAGGACACCCATAGTCCTTCCTCCCCTCAGAGATGTCTCTCCATGAGGGTCAAGCAATAAATGATAGATTCCGCTTGATTTCTGCCCTTCTCTGAGAAGTTGGCAGCAGCCAGGCTGAAGCAACAGAGTCTTGCAAGTGCTTCCCAAATCACAGGTGCCAGCTGGACTTACCACTGCTGCAGGTGGGACCCACAGAGCACAAGAGACACCCTTTGGGGAGGGAACCTGAAAAGTTCCTGCTGACTCACACCCTGCCAAGGTGAGGGACACAGGGGCCAGAGTAGGCAGGAATTTGAAATTCAGTTTGCACAGGCTTGGGGGTTCCTGGTGACTCAAGTCATATTTGTTAGCAGAGGTGCCACCGAATGTTTTCACAGGCCTGAGCTTCCCACTCAGGAAGAGAAATCTGGAATTAACTGGAGGGTTGTTCTATAGGAGGAGAGGTGCTCAGCACTCACATTATGCTCTGGAGACAGGGCAGACACGTTCCTGACCCAAGCTCTGCTCCTGGGTGCAAAGGAGACATGCAAGTCTCCAGAATCATTTCTGGGAAATAAGGCAGTGTTCCCGTGCAACCCAGGCGCGGCTGGAGGAAACCCAGCATGTGGAACTCCCCAAAGGAAAACCACAAGCTGAGGCACTGAGAGAAGCTTCTCTCCATCCCGCACCAAGCTCACTCCCTTACAGAGCTGTCTGAGGAAGTCTAGAGCTGCAGCAAATGCCGTGAAGTCCATCAACCTTGTCACACTCGTCCAGGGAGCAAAACTCTCGCAAGGACTGAGGTACACCAGCCTGTGTCACTCCGGGAGGACACACAGCTCTTCCAGCCCAGAAACAACCCGAGAGCCCTGCACGAGCGGGGAGAACTTGGGTGCCCGCATCCCTTCGCGGCCAGCCCCGATCGGGGGACCTGCAGCCATCTGACATGGAGACAGAGCAGGGCACAGGGGACGTTTGACGATACACATTTATTTGTATGGATGTTTTCCCTCCCACGCACGCACTCCTGTTACTCCTTCTCGCTTGCTGCAGGCTTGGCACGCATCCCCAGCCCGTGCCCTCCTCGCAAGCCGAGCCCGGGCAGCAGATGGGCCTTCGCTGCAGTGCCCCGGCCGGAGGGAGGGTGCCTCCATCCCCGGCGAGCCCTCCGCTGCGGGCAGGGGGCTGGCAGCATCACCTCCCTCCTCCCCACAGGCGATGCTCCCTAGCAGGGGATGCCGGGATTATGGGGGGGGCGTGGGGGGGGGGAAGAGAGAATAAAAAAAAAAAAATAGCACTAATATAAATAAATAAGGAGCGCGAAGGTGGGGGCTCGGCGGGGGAAGCCTCTCCGGCTGCGCTCGCAGGGGATGACGCCGCACCCCCGGGCCGAGGCACAACTTGCAGGTGGCGGCAGCGGCGGGGGGGGGG